GTATATTTCTAGGTTATTAAAAATTAACTTCTAGTTTACACAGGAGTGAAAAAAATTACTGAAGAAACTTGACCTGTAACATAATAAGGAACACTGCACACTGAACATTATCTGGCAGACATGCCTTGTGGTCAGCTGTATACCCAAAATAGAGTTGAAGGAGTATGTATCTTCATATATTTACTGCAACAAATTTATGTCACACATTTGGAAACAAACACATTCAACTTGGCTACCCTGCAAAGCAGAGGTGGGGCAGCTTAGTCTCCAGAAGGGCAGAGAAGGCCCCCAAACCCATTATCCCCCTCTGCTCTTTCTGATCACAACTGCCAAGAACCAGCACAATTTCCTGCTACTCTGTGGTAAGATATACCGCAAATCTGTTGTGTAAACCTTTTAATAAGTTGAATGTAAATAACATAAAGCAAATACATTCAACCCGCAGCCTCCAAACCAAAGGAATAGATGATCTCTCCACTTGCAGCATTGCCTCACCTACTGCAGCCCCTGATTTTCCCATAAATGTTAAATACAGCCCCTAGTCGTCAAAACGTTGGCCACTCTGATGTAAAGCACCCATATATAGCAGCCTTTACCAAGTTGGTACCCTTCATGAGTGTTAGAAACAACTCCCAACCTCCCCAGCCAGCAAAGTATTTGGTTATATTGTAGAAGGTGAATAGAGGGTGCCAGCAACAGACATACTGCAAAATAATCATTGCTATGCTTATATTTGAAGTAGTCACTGTCTTAATAAGATGTACAATAATTGAAATGCAGTGTTCTCAATATTCATCTCCTCCCAAAATGGAATCTTACCAGTGAAAATCTTTTTCAAGCCACGACTGATCCAGATGTTGTCCAGGGACTTGGAACCTTGAGGATTCTTTGTGCTGATGTTTGTAAATGTACTTGCAGGAACCAGAGGGTGGAACTTTTCCTTTCGTAACAAGTCGTGGTCGCTATTATCTGGGGACTGGCTAAAGTCACCCAAAATAATCACATCTTTTTCACCTAAGGTTGGGAACAGTATAGTCATGAAGGATTAGTGGAAGAATGTCAGAATTGATATCTAGAGGCTATATCTTCCTTCAGCTCAACCTGAGGATCCCCAGCTTCTCAAAACAACTCCTGCTGCCCACTGAGAAGATCCCTTCTGTGAGCTTCTATGTGACATGATACCCCCATCTCTTCCATCAAGTCCATTTTCATATCTTGATTCTAACCTTATCCCAAGTCCTTTCTCATTTCAAACTGTTGGTACTATAACCTATCCCCACTTTATTTGCTTATAAAACTGTAGATGGTACCTAGTACACAATAATGCTAAATAAATAATCATTAGGCAAACACAGCAGTGCTGCTGACAATGTATCATGCATGTCTCTTTGCTCACCTAAAATGACATCATTGGGGTTAACTCTCTTACTAAAATGAATAGGTTTGTTTTTCCTCTTCTTATCCATTATCTCTTGATTTAATGTTATCTAGTTAATTATCTGTTTCTTTTTCATTTGGATTCTAGGAAGGAAAATCATGAATTTGGCAGGGTTCCCAAGATTAAAGAGCTAACATTAGGAAAATAAAGATATATATATATCATGTACTGTACATTAAGTTATATATAAAAAAAACCATCATATAGTATCTGGCTGTGAAAATCCAGAGGACCACAAGATGGCAGCAAAGAAATACTGAAAACTCTTTTTTTCCAGCCAAGGTGGGATACCTTTAACATTAATCTACTATAAACGAATGTACTATAATACAAGCTGAGCTGCTAATATGCTAAGCTTCTCTGTTCAAACGGAGTGAGGGAAATACTGTGCAGGAATAAAACTGCAGACAATTTTATCCTAAATCCTCCTGTTATTATTCATACATTAATATACTCTTATTATCCTGAACAGCGTAAATCTTTGCAGCTGTACAGAAAAATCCCATTTAGAGTTCAAAGGGATTTACTTGTAGGTAAGTAGGTAAATGTTTGCAATACTGTTGACTCACTTTTCCTGTTTCCTTTTAAGATATCCAATGATTGTTCTTATTACTCTTTACTAACTTCTGTATACAGCTCCATTCCTCCTATGGAAGTATTTTGCCACAACTCTTGGTTTGTTTGGATTTTAAAAATGGTACCTATCCTTTAGATTGTCATCCCTTCTTTTTGGTCAACTACTTTCACTTGGTCTCAGAATTGATAGTACTGGTCATCTGATAAAAGATCATCAATTTATTCTATTTAAATAAATATAATCTATAGATTGATTGATATGATCAATAGTGTTCTACTGATTAAAAACAAGAGTTAAGGTTAATAAGCATCCATAATTAACATGTAAAATATAATTATTTTGAATTATGAAAAACAAAGTCACTCATACAAAATCAGCTAGCAATATTCTACAAATTATTAACTATTTTAGCTTATATTTATTAAGCATTTCAAAAAAATATCTATTGATGCAGTCCATGTTCTGCTGCAATTACAGGTATGTAACCAGAAGAGGGAGCTCACATTTAACAATAAACCTGTAATTTAGTGGATCTGGTACTAACTACATCAAGGAGAGTTGCTATCTAACATCAGGCAGCTTCAATCATTACAAATCTCCTCCACCAAACACATTACTTCTGTGTAGAAAATCCAAACTATACATGTGTGTGTGATCATTACATGCAATTTGTGATTTCTTCCACAGAAATAATTTTACTATAAAGAACAAGAAGGTTTTTAGGACCAACTATTTTCCAGCTTCAAAACTGATCCAAAAGCTGTTCTGCGCATGACAAATGACCATATAAGACCAGTGAAAGGGACGAGAAATTAAAATCTGGGTAACTGGCTA